TCGCGGGGGCCATTAACTCCAAAATACATTAATCGTAATTGTGAAAAATCTTCTTTTCGTGTGAAATAATTTTCTTTTAGTAAATTTGTTTTCGTGTTTCAGACTTAATTGGTTTTGTTGGACTTAAAGACTCGTCTTGACGAGGGTAATGATGGGGGTAGCGCTAAACCCGTCAGGGTCATACAGCACTTGGGGTCACTAAGGCTGCATTCTACCTCATCTCCACTAGTAAAAAAATAGCTGAATCTTTTATAAGCACACACACACACACACACACACACACACACACACACACACACACACACACACACACACACACACACACACACACACACACACACACACAGTCTGGGAAGTGGTGTAGTGGAGATAGGATCCATACATAGCTTTAAGACGAGGTATGATTAAGCTCCTGCAGCAGGAAGAGTGGCCCAGTAGCGACCAGTGAAGAGGCGGGGCCAGGAGCTATGAATCGACCCCTGCAACCATAACTAGGCGAGTACACACACACACACACACCTGTGTTTCTCATGTCAGTGTTTTCCAGAGTATCCTCATACATGTATCATCGTCAACTTGCTCGTTTTAATATTGTAATTTTTAATTATTATACTGTAAATACACCGTCATTCTGTATGTCTCTGTGAGAGTCATACAACCTGTGTTCGTATCTGATATACCTTTGATATACTTGTTCGTTTAGATTAGATTTTACTGTCAGATTTGCTAGTTTGTGACCCAGTATCCTGTGGATGGTAGTGGCTAGTTTATTGTGCACCTCATATCCATCCTGTGGATGGTAGTGGCTAGTTTATTGTGTACATCATATCCATCCTGTGGATGGTAGTGGCTAGTTTATTGTGTACCTCATATCCATCCTGTGGATGGTAGTGGCTAGTTTATTGTGTACCTCATATCCATCCTGTAGATGGTAGTGGCTAGTTTATTGTGTACCTCATATCCATCCTGTGGATGGTAGTGGCTAGTTTATTTTGTACCTCATATCCATCCTGTGGATGGTAGTGGCTAGTTTATTGTGTACCTCATAAACCATCCTGTGGATGGTAGTGGCTAGTTTATTGTGCACCTCATATCCATCCTGTGGATGGTAGTGGCTAGTTTATTGTGTACCTCATATCCATCCTGTGGATGGTAGTGGCTAGTTTATTGTGTACCTCATATCCATCCTGTAATGGTAGTGGGTAGTTTATTGTGTACCTCATATCCATCCTGTGGATGGTAGTGGGTAGTTTATTTTGTACCTCATATCCATCCTGTGGATGGTAGTGGCTAGTTTATCGTGTACCTCATATTCATCCTGTGGATGGTAGTGGCTAGTTTATTGTATACCTCATATCCATCCTGTAGATGGTAGTGGCTAGTTTATTGTGTACCTCATATCCATCCTGTGGATGATAGTGGCTAGTTTATTGTGTACCTCATATCCATCCTGTGGATGATAGTGGCTAGTTTATTGTGTACCTCATATCCATCCTGTGGATGATAGTGGCTAGTTTATTGTGGGCCTCATATCCATCCTGTGGATGGTAGTGGCTAGTTTATTGTGTACCTCATATCCATCATGTGGATGGTAGTGGCTAGTTTATTGTGTACCTCATATCCATCCTGTGGATGATAGTGGCTAGTTTATTGTGGGCCTCATATCCATCCTGTGGATGGTAGTGGCTAGTTTATTGTGTACCTCATATCCATCCTGTGGATGGTAGTGGCTAGTTTATTGTGTACCTCATATCCATCCTGTGGATGGTAGTGGCTAGTTTATTGTGTACATCATATCCATCCTGTGGATGGTAGTGGCTAGTTTATTGTGTACTTCATATCCATCCTGTGGATGGTAGTGGCTAGTTTATTGTGTACCTCATATCCATCCTGTAGATGGTAGTGGCTAGTTTATTGTGTACCTCATATCCATCCTGTGGATGGTAGTGGCTAGTTTGTTGTGTACCTCATATCCATCCTGTGGATGGTAGTGGCTAGTTTATTGTGTACCTCATATCCATCCTGTGGATGATAGTGGCTAGTTTATTGTGTACCTCATATCCATCCTGTGGATGGTAGTGGCTAGTTTATTGTGTACCTCATATCCATCCTGTGGATGATAGTGGCTAGTTTATTGTGTACCTCATATCCATCCTGTGGATGGTAGTGGCTAGTTTATTGTGTACCTCATATCCATCCTGTGGATGGTAGTGGCTAGTTTATTGTGTACCTCATATCCCTCCTGTGGATGGTAGTGGCTAGTTTATTGTGGGCCTCATATCCATCCTGTGGATGGTAGTGGCTAGTTTATTGTGTACCTCATATCCCTCCTGTGGATGGTAGTGGCTAGTTTGTGTACTTCATGTCTACATGACTCACGAAATCTTAATGACATGATTGCAAACAAACCATACCACGGGTGGGGTTAGAACCCGCGATCGGAGTCTCAAAACTCCAGACCGTCACCCGTGGTATGGTTTGTTTGCAATCGTGTCATTACGATTTCGTGAGTCATGTTGACGGCTTTGAGGGGACTTGAGCTAGAGTTCGTCACGGCCACGCTAGCTGGAGATTCGTCTGTAAAAACTTGCATTTGTGGCCACAGTGGTGGCCTATGCTAACCTTCCTATGGTGTATACATATACCTAGTTGGATGAATCTTATTGTGGCTAGCTGGTCCAGTGGCTAACGCGACGGTCTGGAGTTTTGAGACTCTATGACCGCGGGTTCTATCCCCGCCCGTGGTATGGTTTACTTCATGTCTATCCTGTGGATGGCAGTGGCTAGTTTGTGTAAGTCATGTCCATAATGTGGTGGTAGTGGCTAGTTTGCGTACCTCATATCCATCCTATGGATGGTTGTGGCTAGTTTGTGTACCTCAGGGACTGTAGCAAATGTGGATACACAATAGGCCTAGGAGCTAGGCCTCAAAAGATAAGGGTAACAGAAATATCTTTTATACCTACAATTATGTGTTGGAAGGAAATTTCTTGTGTGTTTATATCTCCGATAATTATTCCGTTCGTGCAGTGGCTAACTACTGCGCCTCGTTACTACGTTGCCAGTACCATTCCACCTCTATATTAAAGTGGTATAAAATACAGACAGGTTGTTAGGTAAGACACATGTACAACAGTTATCTTTATTTCCAGAAAATTCGCTCACACAGTAGGCTTCTCGAGTCTAGTACAGGAAAGTACTCGACTCAAGAAGCCTACTCTGTAGGCCCAACATTTGGACATAAAGAGGCCTAACTATGGTATATGTCTTACCTAACAACCATTCCACCTCTTTAGAATTATACTTGAAACATAGTGACCTAACCAACCAAGAATACATAATTTTTTCGAAATTCCCAGATAGTCAAAAAAAAAAAAAAAGATATGGAAAAACTAGTATTGCCCATTGAATTTTTATTTACACAGTAATTTATGTACATTATCTTACAAAAGGAAAAAAAAGTTATTCTGTATAAAAAAAGTATTTACACATATTAAATAAGTTGTATATGACTTTGGTATTATCACAGATCAAGTGGGCAAAACCGTGGTAGAAAACAGTTAGCAGATCATTGGATGTTTTTACCTCCATCAATATGTTAGAAATTGGACGCAACATTGATTTAGCTAGAAGCGTGTAAGTGTACGTTCGCTTTGTTCATAGTGATCATGTCAGAGGTGAGGAGGTCACAGAGAGCCTTTGAGTTCAGTCATGTCACTGTGATAGATTGAAAAGGTCACAGAGAACCTTTGAGCTCAGTCATGTGACTGTGATGATTGAGGTCACTGAGAACCTTTGAGCTCAATCATGTCACTGTGATGATAGATTGAGAGGTCACAGAGAACCTTTGAGCTCAGTCATGTGACTGATGATTGAGGTCACTGAGAGCCTTTGGGCTCAATCATGTCACTGTGATGATAGATTGAGAGGTCACAGAGCCTTGAGCTCAATCATGTCACTGTGATAGACTGAAAGGTCACAGAGAACCTTTGAGCTCAATCATGTCACTGTGATGATTGAGAGGTCACAGAGCCTTGAGCTCAATCTTGTCACTGTGATGATAGATTGAGAGGTCACAGTGAGCCTTTGAGCTCACCCGTATCACGGTAAGGACAGGTCCCAACGGCAGCGATAAGGACAGGTCCAAACCACAGTAATAAGGATAGGTACCAACCACAGTGATAAGGACAGGTCCCAACGACAGTGATAAGGACAGGTCCAAACCACAGTGATAAGGACAGGTCCCAACGACAGTGATAAGGACAGGTCCAAACCACAGTGATAAGGACAGGTCCAAACCACAGTAATAAGGACAGTTACCAACCACAGTGATAAGGACAGGTCCCAACGACAGTGATAAGGACAGGTCCAAACCACAGTGATAAGGACAGGTCCAAACCACAGTGATAAGGACAGGTCCAAACCACAGTAATAAGGATAGGTACCAACGACAGTGATAAGGACAGGTCCCAACGACAGTGATAAGGACAGGTCCAAACCACAGTGATAAGGACAGGTCCAAACCACAGTAATAAGGATAGGTACCAACGACAGTGATAAGGACAGGTCCCAACGACAGTGATAAGGACAGGTCCAAACCACAGTGATAAGGACAGGTCCAAACCACAGTGATAAGGACAGGTCCAAACCACAGTGATAAGGACAGGTTCCAACCACAGTAATAAGGACAGGTTCCAACCACAGTGATACAGATCCCAACCACGTCAGTGACCAGAACAGATCCCAACCACATTATGAGGACATGTTTGAGGTGCTCATGAACCTATGTCAACATCAGCCACACAATGCACACACAGGAGTCTGGTGGATGTGCTTCATAAACCCAGAATGAAGGCAGATATAATGAATAAACTTTACAATGACTTACAAAAGAAATGTAATAAATATATATATATATATATATATATATATATATATATATATATAATATATATATATATATATATATATATATATATATATATATATATATATATATATGTCGTGCCGAATAGGCAGAACTTGCCATCTTGGCTTAAATAGCAACGTTCATCTTGCCATATAGGACAAGTGAAAATTTGTGTATGCAATAATTTTGCCAAAATCATTCTGAACCTAACGAAAAAAATATATTTCACTGTGTTTGTTTAGTATTAAATTATTGTAAACAAATCTAAAATATATTTAGTTCTTGTTATAAGGTCAGGTAAGTTTTCTAAGTTCCTTTTGGTGCAAAATTATAAATTTTTACATCGACATTAATGAAAAAAATATATCTTTAAACGTATAAGAGAAAATTTTAGAAAGGACTTAATTTTGAATGAGTTCTTGGTAATTGACCAGTTTTACCTATTCGGCTCGACATATATATATATATGAAAATATTTCTCTCTATCTCTCACTCTCTGTGCATGAAATGAACGATATTTTTCCCAGAATGTCCAAAACACACAAAATATTCTTAATATAGGATTGTTCTTGGATAAGCTAGTAACTGCTCGCCTGTATGATCACCACACCCACACACCACAACAGTTATGCATATTAAAAAAAAAATTTGCATTCTTGTTTTTCGTTTAGTGACAATGACACAATACCGACCCGAGTTGTATGATTTTTTTCCCCCCTTCAGCACACTTACAAAAGAAGCATTGAACAGTAGATAGTTGCCATTAAAAAAGGTTTGCTGACACGATTGTTCGTTGTATATAAAGATTGTTATTTTAAAAGGAATTAGAGCCTAGCCAGGTCTTGAATTTCATACATAATATATATGACTAGATGTTGTATGGTCATTGATGGAGATAAATAACATATACAAACCTCCATAATGTACAAATTAGGGTTTAACCCCCCCCCTTTTCACACGCAACACTTGCTAGGCTCAATTAGGTTTGCAGAAATTTTCATGGCGTACGTTTCAATGGTTTGTTTTAGTATTTCTGGACATTTCAGATAGGAATCAACCACTTTAACACTTGTCACTTTAAAGCTTTATATATCTCTCGCATATATCGTTCAACACAGCCACTTGGCACACTTAAAGGGCTCTGTTTTAACACTATAAAACACTGGTGCAGAGCCCATGGCACTTGGCTCTTACAAATAGAGCCTGATACATACTCTTCCATCGGAACTCTATGTAACCACAGAGCTCTATCATGTATAAATATACAATGAAACATCGCCCTCTTGTAGACTTATAAACAGAACTCAGGCGGACATTTATAAGCAGAGCCCTTCAGTGTCCTACGCCCAGTAAGCATCGGATCCCCCGTGAAGGTTATGGTGTATAGACGCTGGGCTGTTAACACTGTACTTGTTGGTGGTGGAGGAGGACCTCTCCGGGATTGAACTGTAGGTGTGTACCACTCGTTGACTGTTTTGCACGTCTGGCATTGCAAATCTCAGCTTATCCCAGAAGAGTTTATCACTGGCGTGAATGCAGGTGTTGGTTTTGAGGTAGAGGCGGAGATCAGGATCCAGATCTCTCGCAGGGATCTCCCCTAAGACAATGACAATCAGACGCTGCCGTCTCTTCTTAAATACTTCGTGATGGGCACTCTTGAACTGGAATCGACACCATTCGTTCTCTATAAAATTTTTAGAGAGGACAATGATGGTGCGGCGGGAAGATTCCACTGCTTCTACTATCGTGTCTGCGATGTAGGCAGTGACCGGGAAGTCCCTGTAGTGAAGACAGACACGATAGGGCCTCTCGCCTCTCTCGAGCTCCCCAGCGAGGACCTGATTCACCCACCCTCGTCCTTGGAGCTGTAGGAGACAAAGGCATCGAACAACTTGTCCCTGTCATCAGTGTTGGTAGCCTTGTGACACATCCTGAAGCCACAGTGAGAGTAGATCCACACTCGTATAGTACTGCGATACAGGACACATAGTATCAGCAGAACTATCACCACAAAGGCGACACATGTGGCAATCACTGGATGCAACAAGTTGTCCAGAACGATGGGTTGTATGACGGTAGACGAGGAAGTGGTATTCATGCAGGTAGTGGCATTGAAATCCATGATGTACAATCCAGGTTCCTCCTCAGACTCGTCAGTGTAGCATTTGATATCCCGGCCGTCAGAGACTTTACGCTCGTTCCCTGTGAGCCAGATACCGAAGGATTCGACGAACTGACACTGACATGACCACTGGTTGGCACTGAGGGAGACGCGGCTGAGGTAGGGATTGTCCACTAGTCGCCACACGGGGAAGTTGATCAGTTGGTTGTTGTGGAGTGTCAGGATTTCAAGGTGAGAGAGTGTTGCAAAGGTATGTTGATGAATGTACCGTAGATGGTTGTTGTGGAGGTACAGTTCCCTCACTCCTTGCAGCCCCTGGAACTCGTTGCCTCTTAGTGCCTCCAATAGATTGTCCTGCAGATGCAGTGCAGTCAGTCGTGTTAGTCCACTGAAAGTTCCGTTGTCAAGTGTTTTGACATTAGAAGCATTCACGTACAAAATTTGAAGATGCTTACGTCCGATGAATGAGTGGGAGGAGAGGTTCCTAAGATCATTACCATCAAGGTAAACCTGCGTGGCATCCATTGGGATGCGTTCTGGCACTTGTTGCACGTCCTGCAGTGAACAATCCACAATATTGGATCTCCACGACTGGTCGTGGTAACACCCACAGCCATCAGGACACGTCATCTCACAGTCACAGGCGTCGAACTCGCAGCAGTGGCACAGAGCGAAGCAGTGAGTCTCGTACTGACAGAGGAACTGTGAAGGATTGACTTCCACAAGAGCTATGAAGGCTCCCGTGCGAGCAAAGGGCATCTGGCAGTAAATGCTCTCCAGGTCCATGATGCGAGGGTTTTGGCGTTCATGCTCCAAGCCATTGATCCTCTGCAACCACTCCATCTTGCAGTCACAGACGAAGGGGTTGCCTCCAAGGTAGAACTCCGGCAAGGACTTGTTAGCCGGAAGTTCTAACAATCTCAAGGCTGACATGTCCATCTTAGAAAGCTGGTTAGCGAAGAGATCCACACGAGTCAAATTAGCTTTCTTAAAGAAAGTGAAAGGTTCAACCACTGATATCCTGTTGTCATTTAAAAATAACAACTGCACACTATCTGGGATTTGGATGCTATTTATATATTGCAATTTATTAAAACTAGCATCCAGAGTTTGCAAATTTAAATCGTGACGTTCAAGATAATTTCCCAATTCACTTATTTTATTTTTATGTAGATCTAACCACTGTAGACTCACAGGAATAAAATGGTAATCAAACATTTCTATGGTATTATCAGACACATTTAACCACACTAAATTCGGAAGGTTTTCAAATAAATTGCTAAAACTTGTAAGCATATTTGCATCGAGTCGAACTGCTTGAAGGTTCAGATTATTATCAAAGGTTCCACTTTCAATATGCGTTATAGAATTCTTTGCTAAATTTAGTATTTTGAGGGAAGGTATATCATTGAACGTATCTTTCGTAATGTTGCCACTAATTTTGTTGTTGACGAGCCTTAACCCGTACAGGAACTGTAGGCCCTTGACGGGTATGTTTTCCAAGGAGGTGATCTGGTTCTCTCCGAGATCTAGTGTTTTGAGGTACCGCAGGTGACCCACATCTGCAGGAATTACCGTCAGTTGGTTACCATTAAGGTTAAGATCTTCCAGACTTGTGAGGTTGCTGAGTGATGCTGCGCCAACGTCGCTGATCTGGTTGTTATCCAGCGCTAGGAAACTCAGTACATTAACTCCCTGGAACGCTCTGTCTGGGATACTTGTTAACTGATTGTAGGATAAATCCAAAGTGTGTAGGTTGACGCAGGCTGAGAATGCTGCCGTAGGCAGGGTCTGCAACTGGTTGTGCGAGAGTCTGAGAACCTGCACGTTGTAAAGATCGCGGAAGACCTGTTGGTTTAGTTGCGAGATCTTGTTGTAAGAGAGATCCAGTAGCATCAGGCGGATTAATCCTTGAAAGATGGAAGAAGTCAGCCACTCAGACTTGAGCTCATTATGAGAAAGATCCAGCTCAACTAGGTGCTCTAAGCCACGAAAGAGCCCCGGCGCTAGTCCAGAGAGGGAATTGTTTTTAGCTCGACAGTACATGAGGCCAGGAGTGTGCAGGAAGGCGTCCTCAGGCAACGCTACCAGTCTGTTGTGGGAAATATCAAGCGTACGCAGACTGTTAAGACCGTGGAAACCATTGTCATCCACTTTGCCGAGTTCGTTGTGTTGGAGGAAAAGGTGTTGGAGACGTCCTAGGCCCTGTAGCGAGGCGGACACCAACACAGTGACATCGTTGTTGGAGAGGTCGAGAGAGCTGACATCAGAGCGGCATGGAGACAGTGTCCCTCTGTCAACGCCTCCTCCTCCTTCCCCGAACCCCAGCTGCGTGATATCTTGTAGGTGGTTGTGACTTAAATTGAGCAGTTTGAGGGTGGCAAGGTGGCAGAAAGCGCCAGCTGGCAGCTCCCAGATATTGTTAGCACTTAGATCTAGCCGCTCTAGCTGCTGCAAAGGACGGAACACATCTGGCTTAGCTGTAAGACTCATCACCGGCCAGTCAGAATTTTTAGTCCGTAAAGTCAAATTTCTTAAATTTCTAAGGTTTATAAATGTGTTATCGTCTATTTCACTAATCTTGCAATACTCCACATTGAGTTCTCTTACTCTGACGAAGCCCGACAGAGTGAAAGGCGTTAAGACACTCTGATAGTAATACACCTCACTGCACTTAAGGGATAGTTTCACTACACTATCCACTGGGATGTCGCTCAAGTTAGCAACCCTCATGTCATTGTCCAGGGTCTTGAGGGAGCAGGTAAGCGCTCTCTCACGTTCACTAAGGACCTGACTTTCGCACTCTGCGGCGCTGTATCGCACAGCCAGACCCTCGCAGCGCACCACCGCTTGCCACACCATGAACAGCAGCGCCCTGCCATCCCAAAATCTCGCACTCCACATTTTGATTGTCCAGGGTTATTTTACTGCGAGTGGAAATGCCATGAGAGACATTCCTGCAGGCGGGAGGGAAGTTGCGGAGTCTTCAACTTGACTCGGACCAACATTACCGCAGTGAGAGGCGGAGGAGCGTCATGATCCGTCCCTCCCACTGGCTCAACTCATACTGTCTTCCCGCTGCAGCGCCGCAGCTGCTGTCTGCCTCTTGTGTCGGCAGTGACCGACTAGCGGGAAGAATTATCGTACGCACACCCTTACCCATATGATATTTATTTATTCCCTTCAAAGTCTTGCCATCGTACGCACGTCCTCACTCGTATATTTATTCCCTTCAAAGTCTTATTACTGATGAAGGGCTCTTGATACCACGTCCTCCTTTCCCTTGGATCAAACTTGATCCTCGGTAATGAGTTAATAAGACACACGTACAAGGTTTATGTATATTCCGAAACGTTTCGGAATATACATAGACGTAGTTTTTGGATCAAAAAACTACGTCTACAGGTCTAAAATATAAATTAAATTACCTTAGTCCAAGAAAATATATAGTCATAGATGTCTCCATAAAATAACTGTTATTTTGTAAATATATATATATAATATATAATATATATATATATATATATATATATATATATATATATATATATATATCATTACACGTTTAAAGTTGTTTCTGGCGGAGGAATGAGCATTCAGCGAGCTATTAAGAATATCGACCAGCGGGGAATGTGCCTCGTTTATGGTCCCTAGCGTTGAATACGGTAACTTGTACCATTCAACGCAAATAGCACATTTGGCTGGACAGCTCAACGTTGAGGTGCGCCTCAAAAACTTGACTCACATACTCACAATCTCCTTTTGTCTATTCTGTGAGTAATTGTATCTGTTTTCGAACGCGGTGAGTGTTGGGGGTGGTGGTGGTAATGGGGAGAGGAGGGACGCAGGGGGGGGGTGTTTGGGAGGCGGCGGCTGTAATGGGTAGAGAAGGGACGTAGAGAGGTGGGAGGGATGTGGGGAGGGAGGGGGAGGGATTGAACCCACGGTTAATCCCTCTATTGTGATGTCTGGTGGAGGGGACAGGCATGTAGCAACTACTGGAGTGTGCCGTGTTGGTGTGGCTGTGAGTTAGACCTGACTGGCTTGGGCTAGTGGGTGTGATGGAGTGCTTCTTAAGTGGATGTGACTTGGAGCTGACTAGCTTAGGCCATTAGGTGACTTAGACCTGCCTAGCATGGGCAAGTAGGTGATTCGGACTTGCCTAGCATGGGCCAGTAGGTGACTTGGACCTGCCTTGCATGGGCCAGTAGGCCTCCTGCAGTGCTCCTTATGTCCTTATGTGCTATAGACCCTGGCTAGGTATATGATGTTGGTACCTGCTTTATGTGTTATGTTATAGTCACCTACTGCTGCACCTAATGGTCTCTGTACAGTAGTACTCATGTTCTGGTCTCTGTACAGTAGTACTCATGTTCTGGTCTCTGTACAGTAGTACTCATGTTCTGGTCTCTGTACAGTAGTACTCATGTTCTGGTCTTTGTACAGTAGTACTCATGTTCTGGTCTTTGTACACTAGTACTCATGTTCTGGTCTTTGTACAGTAGTACTCTTGTTCTGGTCTTTGTACAGTAGTACTCTTGTTCTGGTCTTTGTACACTAGTACTCATGTTCTGGTCTTTGTACACTAGTACTCATGTTCTGGTCTTTGTACAGTAGTACTCTTGTTCTGGTCTTTGTACAGTAGTACTCTTGTTCTGGTCTTTGTACACTAGTACTCATGTTCTGGTCTTTGTACACTAGTACTCATGTTCTGGTCTTTGTACAGTAGTACTGCTGTACATTAACATCTCCATTCAAAGCAGGTGAAATCGCAGATCTAGAGAGTGTACAGAGATCCTTTACTGCACGTATAAGTTCTGTCAAGCACCTTAACTACTGGGAACGCTTGGAAGCACTTGACTTGTACTCGTTGGAACGCAGGAGGGAGAGATATATCATAATCTACACTTGGAAAATCTTGGAAGGAATGGTCCCAAATCTGCACACAGAAATCACTCCCTACGAAAGTAAAAGACTGGGCAGGCGATGCAAAATGCCGCCAATAAAAAGTAGGGCCCATTGGTACACTAAGAGAAAACACCATAAGTGTCCGGTGGCCCAAAACTGTTCAACAGCCTCCCATCAAGCATTAGGGGAATTGCCAATAAACCCCTGGCTGCCTTCAAGAGAGAGCTGGACAGATACCTAAAGTCAGTGCCGGATCAGCCGGGCTGTGGCTCGTACGTTGGACTGCGTGCGGCCAGCAGTAACAGCCTAGTTGATCAGGCCCTGATCCATCGGGAGGCCTGGTCATGGACCGGGCCGCGGGGGCGTTGATCCCCGGAATAACCTCCAGGTAACCAGGTAGTACTCATGTTCTTTGAACACTAGTACTCATGTTCTGGTCTTTGTACAGTAGTACTCATGTTCTGGTCTTTGTACACTAGTACTCATGTTCTGGTCTTTGTACACTAGTACTCATGTTCTGGTCTTTGTACAGTAGTACTCATGTTCTGGTCTCTGTACAGTAGTACTCATGTTCTGGTCTTTGTACAGTAGTACTCATGTTCTGGTCTTTGTACAGTAGTACTCATGTTCTGGTCTTTGTACACTAGTACTCATGTTCTGGTCTTTGTACAGTATACTCATGTTCTGGTCCCTGTACAGTAGTACTCATGTTCTGGTCTCTGTACAGTAGTACTCATGTTCTGGTCTTTGTACAGTAGTACTCATGTTCTGGTCTTTGTACAGTAGTACTCATGTTCTGGTCTTTGTACAGTAGTACTCATGTTCTGGTCTTTGTACAGTAGTACTCATGTTCTGGTCTCTGTACAGTAGTACTCATGTTCTGGTCTTTGTACAGTAGTACTCATGTTCTGGTCTTTGTACAGTAGTACTCATGTTCTGGTCTTTGTACACTAGTACTCATGTTCTGGTCTTTGTACAGTAGTACTCATGTTCTGGTCTTTGTACACTAGTACTCATGTTCTGGTCTTGTACAGTAGTACCATGTTCTGGTCTTTGTACAGTAGTACTCATGTTCTGGTCTCTGTACAGTAGTACTCGTGTTCTGGTCTTTGTACAGTAGTACTCATGTTCTGGTCTTTGTACACTAGTACTCATGTTCTGGTCTTTGTACAGGAGTACTCATGTTCTGGTCTCTGTCTGTCTCTCTCTCTCTCTCTCTCTCTCCTCTCTCTCTCTCTCTCTCCTCTCTCTCTCTCTCTCTCTCTCTCTCTCCCTCTCTCTCTCCTCTCTCTCTCTCCTCCTCTCTCTCTCTCTCCCTCTCTCTCTCTCTCTCTCTCTTCTGATTCTGTTGTCCTGTATGCAGATTCCTCTTTCCCTCTCCTGTTGTTCTCGACTCCCCTTTCTGTTTTCCTGTTGCCTATAACTGCTGTTATCCCTTCCTCTTCCCCTATTCTTTGTTGCTGCCCCTTTGATTTCGTTATCTTTCTCCTATTCAGTGTTTTGTATAGCTGTGATAACCTTCCTAAGGCCCGGTCACAGACCGAGCCGCGGGGGCGTTACCCCTGGAAGCCCTCTCCATCTATCTCCAGGTATATATATCTGTGTTAACTGTCTTGTATAGCTGTCCTGACCTTTTTGTATAGCTGTGATAATCTGCCGTGTTTGCCTTGTATAGCTGTTTGCCTTGTATAGCTGTGTTTGCATTGTATAGCTGTGTTTGCCTTGTATAGCTGTTTGCCTTGTATAGCTGTGTTTGCATTGTATAGCTGTGTTGCATTGTTTAGCTGTGTTTGCCTTGTATAGCTGTTTGCATTGTATAGCTGTGTTTGCATTGTTTAGCTGTGTTTGACTTGTATAGCTGTTTGCATTGTATAGCTGTGTTTGCATTGTATAGCTGTGTTTGCCTTGTATAGCTGTTTGCCTTGTATAGCTGTGTTTGCATTGTATAGCTGTGTTTGCATTGTTTAGCTGTGTTTGCCTTGTATAGCTGTTTGCCTTGTATAGCTGTGTTTGCATTGTATAGCTGTGTTTGCATTGTTTAGCTGTGTTTGCCTTGTATAGCTGTTTGCCTTGTATAGCTGTTTGCATTGTATAGCTGTGTTTGCATTGTTTAGCTGTGTTTGCCTTGTATAGCTGTTTGCCTTGTATAGCTGTTTGCATTGTATAGCTGTGTTTGCATTGTATAGCTGTGTTTGCATTGTTTAGCTGTGTTTGCCTTGTATAGCTGTTGCCTTGTATAGCTGTTGCATTGTATAGCTGTGTTTGCATTGTTTAGCTGCGTTTGCATTGTTTAGCTGTTTGCCTTGTATAGCTGTTTGCATTGTATAGCTGTGTTTGCATTGTTTAGCTGTGTTTGCCTTGTATAGCTATGTTTGCCTCGTATAGCTGTGTTAACTTTATATAGCTGTGTTAACCCTCCATTCTCTTCCTGTCATATACAGCTGTGTAACCTCTTTCTCCCATGCTGTTAACGTTGTATCGATCCCATCTTTCCACCCCCTCCTTTATTCATTCACAGTGAAGACATCTTTACCTCCCCCTCATTTATTCACCCCTTTAGTCGTCCCTTAACCCTTTTAGTCGTCCCTTAACCCCTTTAGTCATCCTTTAACCCCTTTAGTAATCGTTTAACCTCCATAGTCGTTCCCTAACCTCCTTCCCAACCTCTCACTCCCCAAAACCCATTCAAAAGCCTATTACTCGCCCCCTTTAACCTCCCCTTCTCAAAACCCCTATTAGTCGTCCCTTAAACCCCCCTTAATTGCCCTCCTCTCATGCGTTCTCTCTCTCCTCTCATGCGTTCTCCCTCCTATCATGCTCTCTCTCCTCACATAAGCTGTCTCTCATGCGCTCTCTGTCTGCTGTGTTAATGTAACATGCGGGCCGTCACAACACAGGAGATGCGGCCAACATTGGCAGCATACTTGCATAGGTTTATTGTGATTCACTGGTCTACAATATGGGTGCTATATCAGAGCCCAGCTCTCTCTCTCTCTCTCTCTCTCTCTCTCTCTCTCTCTCTCCTCTCTCTCTCTCTCTCTCTCTCTCTCTCTCTCTCGCTCTCGCTCTCGCTCTCTCTCTCACACACACACACACAGGTTTTACAAGGTTAAGTTAAGGTTCCTATCTTTATTTACAAGCTAAGAGCTGTTACTTAGTCTCACATCGGGGCCAGGAGCTACGACTCG